CATAACCTTAAGAATTATCCAGTAAAACTGAACGTGTTGACATACTGACACCAAAGACATATACTGGACACATTAGAAACTGCTGCACATGACCAAGTTAATTTGGAAGAGTGAACAGTGAACATCAAGTGTTTATCATATATATATATGATTTATTTTTAAAGTATTGACTGCCATGACTTACTCAGTTACATTTTAATATGTTTTTAAAATACCTATCTGTGTGAGAAGAGTAACAAAACTTCTGGAACTTCATACAATTTAAAACCTGTCTCTGGTTAACTGAATTACCAGTGAATTCTAGAAATACTCGTAGTGATCTACTGGAATCATGGCTCTAAGTATGCTGAATATTTTGAATGCGGGTTTTCTTTTTCATTGCTGCGCAAGAAAAGGCTTCAGTTAGGTAGATGCATCCTTTGTAAAGGATGCTTCCATATTTACCTCCAAACAATAAGATCATTATATTGCTATTTTACACAGTTAGCTATTCTTGGTCTATTTTCTTTCTTAATTTTTGCATAAATTAAGTCTCCAACAAAACCTCTTCCTGTTCTTTTTGCTCCTTTATTAAGATTGTAAGAAAATTTCTGTTTATGTTAGTTTGCCTCTGTCTAGCCCAGTTGGAACAGAGCCTTTTAAAAGTTTATTCTTTGGTTTTCCCCTGGAGGGGAAAGGTTGGCTATCCCCTAATAGTAATAATTTGTATAACTGCTTTGATTTTCTAAGAGGTCACAGATTTTTCTTAGGATGTACAATGTTGTATCTCCCTAATGCATAGGTATTTTAACCACCCAGAGAACAAATAAAATGATGGCAACCTCTCTGGACGAATGGGATAAGGCTGGGGTGTTATACTGTGAGGTAAATAAAGTGGAGATTTCCAGTATGAAAGACAGAAGAAGAGGAAGATGTTCTGTGTGTGAAGAAATACAGATAAGAGAAGCAAAGGAGAGGAATGACTTCAATCCAATTACTTAACTTCAGATAAAACAGGCCAGTGTCAGTCTCAGTCAAGATGCTACTATTACTACTTCCAGCTACAATAAATCAATTTGAAATGCAGAAAATGGAAAAGTCCAGTCCTTAAAAGCTTTTGTTTTCAACTATAATGTGAGCAAATAAATTACAAATGGATTGATAGAACTATTTAGCAACAGTTAAGTGATAGTTAAGAAGTTACAATTAAAACTCATGCAATTAAAACTCTGAAATATTTTCTGAAAGCAAATGTGATCCTTTACAGACCTAAGAGCATCAGATGGATGGTGATGTAAGACCCATACAGAAAGATCACAGGTGAATTGAAGGTAGAGATTATAGGCTTTCCAGGGAAGGTAGTCTCCATACATGATCCAATACTCAAAATCCAAATTCAGAGTAGCTCAAAGAATGTACAGATATCAATCACTCAAATGATAACTCTGTACGCCACTTAAAAAAAAAATTCTCCTACCTAAAATAAACTTATTTCTGAAGTGAGCAAACAATTTTCAATTTATTTTGTGGGTCACATGCAATGAAATATTATCTGCATTCTGTTATTTAGAGAACTGAAGCAAGACCGAAATATGTTTTAAAATTACCTAAAACTGTTGTGTCTAGTGAGAGTAAAATAAAATGTCTTTGTTTGTGATTACTATGGTAATAGATTACCCTTTAAATAAAATTTGCTGTTCATAATTGACCTTAAGACTGTAACAAGCTGAAGCATTTCCCTTTAAACTTTCAGTATTAGGCCTAATAATTCCTAGAAATATTTATCAACTGATAAAATAGAGATGGGAATAATTATTAAATAGCAAAAGAGTATCTGGAAAGCATGCAAACATTTGTTTCTGTAAAAACTAGTCAATAAATATTTGTTGAATGTATGCAATATGCAGCTGTAGTAAGCATCAAGAGTGCAGTGGTGAAAAAGAAATATTAAGATGGTGCTTATTTTTCAGTGAGGGAGACAGACAAAAAGCAGGCAAAAACAAATAAGAAAGTAGCAACGCATGCTGTGAAAAATATAAATGGAGTGATATACAGGGAACAACAGAATGACACTTTCAATTAGACATTCTAAGGAGAGATGTACAGAGTACGTAGAAGCCCAGTTTATACAATAAGACGAATTAGAAACAATTTCAATTGCCATCTGTATAGGTAATAATAGATCTATTATGATATACCTGTGCAATGCAGCAGGAACAAGGAATGAAATACGACCAGTAATATGTCTGCATATGTATGTCAATACATAAATCGATATCTGAAATTATACCAGCAAAATATAAATAGGAATGACCTCAGACATATGGGTGGATGTGGAACCCAAGGTGGTGATGATCAACAAAGCTGTTTACTTAACAGTTATGTTTCAAAGTTTTACAACTAAAAGAGGCTCATGCATTGCTTTTGTAATTAAAAATCAATTTTAAATAATTAAAAAGAAAGGAAGCCGTTTACTTAACAGTTATGTTTCAAAGTTTTACAAATAAAAGAGGCTCATGCATTGCTTTTGTAATTAAAAATCAATTTTAAATAATTAAAAAGAAAGGCAACTTGATAAACCAAAATTAAAACATAACTTCTAATTTCAACTTTATTACTGAAGTCTTAAAAATCTAATTTAAGTCAGTCCTTTTCTGTATAAAAAGAAGTAGCACTATCTCTTCACTATTAACTCTATTTGGAAGACCTAAATCCAAATTCAAAATCGTTGTATTGGTAAAAATATTAGATATATGAACATGATCAAAATAGAAGAAAAGATGTGAAGAAAGGAAACAAATTTGTTAAAAACTAACCCAGGGCTGGCCGGTTAGCTCAGTTGGTTAGAACTTGGTGTTATAACACCGAGATCAAGAGTTCGGATCCCCCTACCAGCAAGCCGTCCCCACAAAAAATAAGCAAAATAAAACAAAAAAAATATATAAAATAAAATAAAAACTAACCCAGAAAAACAATTTTAATGATGAAACAATCTGGTCAAAAGTGTGATGGGACAGAAATTCTGTCACAGTGGAAAGTATTTTGGTAACTTTTCAGATACATCAAGGAAACATGAATTACACAGATCTCTTGAGATTATCTGCTTTGTAAGACAACTAAGCACACTACTTTCCTCAGATAGTTTTCTTCAAGGACAACCTAAAAGTTGAACTTTGTAAAGCTAAGACCTGTTCTTTGTGAAGGATAACAGTCATGTTAGCAGCAGATGTTAGGGAAAGTAGAGTGTGATTGATTTCTAAGGTAAATGCTGACCTCAAATACCAACAGCTTTATAATTAAACTTAGCATTTTATACCTCTGTGAAAGAAAACTAACTAGAGGTACAAAATAGGTGAATGTTCCTTCTTGTAGTGACCCTTTAATAATCCTAAAGGGCCTTTGGAATAACCAACACTTTCTCCTCTTTGGATCAACATAAAAGCACATTCCAAGTGAAAAGATAATAAAACTAAATCAAAGTTGGTTATTACTCATGGAGATGTGCTATAATCAGTTTAAGATAGCATATTTTTCTTAAGCAGAAAACATTTGATTAGATTTTTATAGCATTTTATTCTTCCCTTGACTATACAACATACTGATCATCATCTTAGAATATACCACCAAAGTCTTCTCTGGCTCTTAATAGGGAGAGGAAAGCTTGCAAAATTTTTTCTACCATAGATTTCTCTATGGGATTTCAAAGAGAAAAAATATGACATCAGTGAGGGCACCTAGTTCACGTCATCACCAGGGCAAGTTGAGATTCTCTTTAGAGTACTCTGGTTACTAGGAGAAAAGGATCCTTTGGATATCAGAACTTTATAGCAAAATAATATGCTTAATGTTATTGATATCTCACCCACATAAAGACCCTTGTAGTTCAAAGAATATCAGCATCCTACGACTGAGCAAATTGCTGAGGAGTTTCCTCTTTTTAAAAAAATTTTAAGAATGTCCCTCTTCTAGACTCTGGTGAGAAGGAGGTACCATCATAAAACCTCAGATATAGATCATATTTAGGGTCAAGAACACTGGAAAAATTCTTGTAATACATGGACACTAACAATATGGTGCTCTATGTGACAGTCTACACATGTTGGTATTAGTTTTTTGAATTGATTGATATTTATCTCCCATCCATTCAAAACAAAACAAAACCAAAAAATAGCTTGTAACCTACATAAGAATTTAAAATATAGGAGTCCAACTAAGACTTAACCATGGGTTTTTCTGCTCTGTGAAACATTAAAATCTCATAGAATTATCAACAAGTTGAAGATCATTTTGACCAGATATATTGCAATTACTTGTACAAACAAAAAAATACAGCATAGAATTACTCATCCTTATTTCGCTTAATTATTTTCATGAAACATTAAAATCTCATAGAATTATCAACAAGTTGAAGATGATTTTGACCAGATATATTGCAATCACTTGTACAAACAAAAAAATACAGCATAGAATTACTCATCCTTATTTCGCTTAATTATTTTCTTTTGTCTGCATGAATTCATAAAATATATGAATAAAAGTTTAAATGTCACTCAATATTTTTATAACAAAACAATTTGGAAGGCCCATATAAACATTGCATTACTGTGATAATACATTCAAAGTCACGCAAGTAATGTATTAGCTAAATGACCATAGAGATTGCTATTTTATTCTGCAATCCTAAACTGAATTACTAGGGCAAGATGTTGAAATATCATTTGAGCTTCTATAATTCTAAAGTACTAGATCTTTAAAAAAAAATCCTCACAGAATTCACATTGCAATGTGCCTTACGTATTAGGTAATGCAATATCCTATCTTAGGACATAACGTGATGGCATCATCTCACACAAACACATTCATCATGCTGTCCTGCAGATTCAAAAAGGAGAATGGTTTTTCCCTAAGTATAACTCACATCCCACTAACTTATCATATTCCTGTTAACTAGCAGGGGGTTGAAATAACTTAATGTGCTTTGAATATTTAGTCCAAAGTAACAAAAAAAATCTGTCACTTACGTTTTTGAGTCATCCCACAAGACGCAATAAGGATTCAAAGTACCCTAAAAATAAGCAGAGAAAAATAAAAATAAATATATGTAAGTACATACATAAAACTTGAAGGATTATGTGAAATGCAAATGGAATAGTGGGTTTATCTTGCAGTAAGATGCTTTAAAAATTCCACCCTTATTTTTTTTTTTATAAGAAATGTGCATTTCCTTTCTTTCTTTCTTTTTTTTTTTTTGTCTTTTTCGTGACCGGTAAGGGGATCACAACCCTTGGTGTGGTGTTGCTCGCACCATGCTCAGCCAGTGAGCGCACCGGCCAGTCCTATATAGGATCCGAACCCATGGCGGGAGCGTCGCTGCACTCCCGAGTGTGCCATGGGGCCAGCCCTGCATTTCCTTTCTCACTGATTTAGTGACCAATTTTATGAATTCTTATGAAAATAATACAGTTATTCCAAATATCATAACCTATATTTAGTTTTGATGAAAACTGGAAGTAAAACTCTCATATACCATAAGTTCATATTTTATGATTTTAATTTCATATTTATTTTTCTAAAATATTAATTGCTGGATTACTTTCTTCATGAAGACCAAGATAGTCACAATATTTTAATCACAGTGAGTATCCTGTATTTTGCACATATACAACCACGACCACCACCTCCTCTTCATCTCCAGTTGGTGTTTCTTAGAGGCAAGAGGTAGTTGTATTAACTGTCCATTTTCAGAGAGTTTGTTGACTTGCAATATCTTCTTAATCAACAGATAATATTTGTATAGAATCATTTCTAACAAAATTTTAAGAAAAAAGTGTTTGGTTTTTTCATTCAGCTCAATAATTATGTATTGAGTACCCACTATGACCATCAAAATGATGCAATGAATTTTCCACAGTGGATTTTTCAGGGAAGTGCTTTCTGTTTTAGAGTTCCCATTGTTGGAATTTTTTTCTTCCTGTTTGCCTTTTCACTTTTATTGGGTCTAATTTTGCCCTTTGAAACTAATTTAATAATTCTTCCTTTATGGAGTATCCTTAGTATCTAACAGATTTTATCATATCCCTGAGAGCCTTCTCTTATCCATTAAACATACTCTGTTGGTTTCAAGCTCTCTTGCCCTCCACTTTACTCATTTCCTGGAGCACACACTTTTAAAGTGCATTTAGGGAAATCATCTGCTTGTGTTTGACCTGTGCATAGTCTCTCCAATTTAGTTTGCCATATTCCTAATAATGGGAGCTAAGATTGTATCAGATATTTTAGTCGACTCTTCCTGGGCTTGACAGGTATTACTCATACACTGCAGTCTCTTGGGAGCTTTTTAAATCCTGATTTTGGCACATTTACTGTTGCTTCCAAGCTTTGTGTCATACAGGATTAAGAAACCAACATGATTATCTATGTCATGATCCAATTAAGTCATTGATAAATATGAGAATAGTCCAAGGCAGTTAAAGGATACAGTCCTGAAACAGGCCACTGGCTCCCTTCCTCAGATGGACAAGCTCCCTCAGTGCTTAAGTCATTGATAAATATGAGAATAGTCCAAGGCAGTTATAGGATACAGTCCTGAAACAGGCCACTGGCTCCCTTCCTCAGATGGACAAGCTCCCTCAGTGCCAGCAAGCAATCACCCAGCCCTGCAGCCTCCATCGTGTGCACAACTAGATAATCACTGGAGTGTATCTGGCCAAGCAACATCTTTGAAAGTCTAGGCAGGCTGTTTCTCAGGTATGCTTTTCTAAGTGCTGTTTATTGGGTCCATTCTAGACTTTTCTAAAAATAAAAATTAAGCTTTCTATTCTAAAATTTATGAAAATCACCGAATCTTATTTGTTATTCATTTTAATTGGAATGTTTGACTAACTCCAGTATTGAAGCACCACTACTAGTCTCCAAAATCTCTCAGAGACCACATATCCAAGGTATTGTACATCTTATTAAATGCTCATACAAAACACTCCCTTCCCTGAAAAAGGTCATAATCTTATAGAAGTAGGTGAAAAACATACATATGCAATGTTTATATAACAATATAAGAGAAATGCTCATATGAATCTCACTAGTCATAATTTACTGTGTAAAGGACAGATAACGGACTGAGTATCATGACCTGAGCTAATCAGTGTGAGTTTTACAGAAGTGGGTTCTTCTCCAGTTTTCACAGAAGGCATAGATCTGGATATTTAAGGGAGGGGAAGGGGAATGGTGTTTCATATTGGTTTCTTCTTCTACTTTGTAAGAGCCTCTCTGGTTTTACTTAGGTTTTTCATACAGCTCCTGACTTTCTGAGAAATCCTCACTATAGCTACAATGTTATACCATAAAGTTAAGCTGTATTTACGTAGGATTTTTTTTCAAAGGAGCTCAGACCACTCTAAAGACAACAAATAATCCTTGGAATATCACAATGAAGAGTATGAGAGTATACATTTCATGGGATATAAAAGCCAAGTCAGGTGAGGAACCTGAGAGGACAGATCCTCTAAACCTAGGCTGCCTATCTTAGTAATATGAGCTAGATTAAATTAAATCTCTACATAAACCAATGCAGGATACCAATTATAGGCTTAATATTTCATAAATATTGTTCATAACAGGTTACCACAAGAGAAAATGATATTAGAAAAGAAATACAAAATGAGCTTAATTGTTTGGATACCTCTTTCCCTTTTGCCCCCTGAAGAAACTGATTTTCACTTACAGGTGAAAGTATAAAGATAAGAAATGTTTCTTCTACTCTTATTCCATGCCTTTCTCAACACTTGGTTTTAACCTCTACCTTCTTCACACTCACCTCTTCCACCACATTGCATGCTTCTCTCCCTTCCTGTCCTTATGAAAATTTAAACAACACCCGTGGGAGAATTGTTATAGGTTACCAAATGCACCATTCAATCTTGGGTTTCACTATACATTCTGGGATGTACACAACAGAATGACACCCCTCTGTGAACATTTATTCTAGTATAGTCACTGATGCGTAGGCCTGCAAAATGAGGTCAATAATTTAAACATTTGAAGTTTAAGAAAATAAGCAGAAAACAAATTAGAAGAATCTTAGTACATGGATAGACCAGTTTAACTTAAGAAATGAGTGTGAGATGGTTCTGCTGAGAAACTACTTGTAAAATAGTTGTTATAATTTTCAGACACTTTTCTCAAAGGGACTCTTCTACAAGATATGTTATAAGGAATTTATAAGAAATCAATAGCAGGAAATGGTGAGCCCAACAGAGAGCAATAAGAAAATATAATGACAGGAGCAAGAGAAAATAAGCAAGTTGTGAACTCACCTACAGAAGTAGATTTAAGAAATGCATTAAACTAAGAAAACACAAATTGTCAGGTGAATGAGACAGATGAGTTAAAGATTAATTTACCAAGCTGTCAGTATAACTAACACTTAAAATGTTAAAACTGAATGTATGTGAAAACTTTTGGAAAGAATATGCTATTCTTGACAAACACATTTTTGACTAAAAAGCAAAAAGGACACACAAAAATTGAAACTGGCTCTCTTGGCTCCATTCAAAATAGCACAGTTGAATGAGTTAAACATTGATATTCATCCACTTTTAAGCACTTTAAAAATGAATGATAATCCAAACTGCCTAATTATCATAAATGTTCCCTACACCACTTTCAAGTGCCTTTGCTATTTTCTTTTATTTCTCTCCTCTGTTTCAACATCAACCAAACCAATCACTTTATTTAACAGAAGAATAATTCATCAGCTTTGTCAATGTATCTCTATGGATGATTCTCTCTTTTACTTTGCTTTGTGTATCTTTTCAGTTTTCTTACTTATAAAATAAGGGATTTGGACACACTTTCTAGACATAGCTATCCATGGTTCTAGAATGATATTTGTGAATGAATTTATTTTATTCTTTCAAAACTCTCTCCCAAGTCTTCTTTTCTAAGGGATACTTTAAATACACCTCACTATTGTAAAGTATTCCCACAAAGAAGCAAGTCAGAAGAGAGAGCCAGGAAGACGATCAGAACAAGTTCATCCATTCACATATTCATGCAAAAATCATTTAGTAAACACCTGTTACGTTCCAGATATCCTGCAAGGTTCTGTATACTGGGTTGAACAAAAACCAAAATCCCTGACTTATAAATTTCACTATAGTGAAGGGGGCAGGGAAAGAGACAAAAAACATCAAGTAAGTATCTAATATGCTAGATGGCAATACATGTTATAATTAAAAGTAAATCACAGTGAGTAGGAAAAACTGGGAAAGTTGATGGATCGTAATTTTGTACATTAGGAAAGCTTCACCAGTGAGAAGGAATTTGAGTGAGATCTGAAAGAAATTGGTTACAGAAAAGATACTGATATAGTCACAATAAAAATTAATAATGACCAGGTTTCATAAATTTCCCTGGTGTTTTTAAGTTCTGAATAAATTCAGTTCACATGCTGTCTTAATCACACTCTTGCTGTCTTAATATTTTCAAAATGTTCTCTCTCTGGACCTACTGTAGAATCAGCTGGCATGCTTTTTAAAGATGTAGATTCCTTGGCTCCAGGAATTTTGAGATTAGGTCTAAATCTTAAAAATCTGCATTTTTTTTTCCTTTTTGTCTTTTTTTACCGACCGGTAATGGGATCGCAACCCTTGGTGTTGCGCCCGTACCGGGGACCGGCAACGGGATCGCAACCCTCGGTGTTGCACCCGCACCACGCTCAGCCAGTGAGTGGGAACCGGTCTCCACATGGGATCCGAACCCTCGGCGAGAGCACCGCCGCGCTCCCAAGCGGCACACTCTCCAGTGCGCCACCGGGCTGGCCCTTAAAAATCTGCATTTTAATGATTTCTCCCTCCATAATAATTTTTTTCCATTATAATTTTTACTCACATCAAATTTGCAGAATTACTGCTTAAAGACACACAACAGAAATAACAAGGTTACTCTACTCTGCATTTATTCAAACTTTCAAAGGCTTAGGACTCATATGCCAAAGTAAATTCCTAATGTGGAAACCTCATGACTTTTTTGTACCTTTCATAACCTTCTTGAAAAAAAAAGGTAATA